TTGTTTCTGCAGTGAGCACTCGGGGCTGTAGTGTTGCTGGCAGTAGTTGTCACCATGAGTAACTAGGGTGTAGAACACTTCAAATAAAATAACATGTGGTTTTGGTATTTTTACTAATTTTTTTACATTTTGAAATTATATGCATCTTTAAGTAATTATTGCTTGTATATGTTAAAAATATGTAGAGAATTATAGTAAAAGATAATATCCTCTTTCCTCCAACCTCCAACTTCCCTTTTACAAGAGCATCCTTAGGAGTTTGGGAAGAAAGCTCAGTCAGTAAAGTACTTGCTGGGCAAGCATCAGGACCTCAGTTCAGTTCTCTTGAATCCAGGTGGAAAAGCTAGGCATGGTGCCACATACTTGTAAACCTGGCACTAGGGAGGCAGAGACAGGTGGACCTGCTGTCCTACAGGTTGCTTACTATCATTCATACTTAGTTTTCAAAAGTTCTGCTTTGAAGGAGCTGTTGTGGAGCAGACAGTGGTGAGAGCAGACAGTTCTGTGTGTGGATTGGGAGGGGCTTTCGTGTATAGGAGGGCTGTAAAGGAACTTAGTAAAGAGGCAGTGATGTCCAAGTGTTCTTTAGTCTTGTTGAATTGTAGTTACAAACAGTAGCTTTATAGAAATGGGGAAACTTAATAAATGTTAAAATTTCACAGATGAAATTCTTTCAACCCCCTTGGTCATTGAATTGAGCTTCCCAAGTGGTTTCAAGTGCATTCGTTTATCTATACATTCAAGTCCTGCAGGCACAGCCAGTACTGTCAGGGTGAACCCTTCACAGTTTCCTTAAGAGTTGAGCAATCTGACTGTAAGGAGTTAAACTTGCAAAAGCAGCAGAGCGGGTTCGGTAAGACCAGGTCTTTTTGTTGGCTAGTCCTGAACCACCAACACTTAAAAACACATCCTAAACCTAAAAGTGTTAGTACCGTAGATTTGAAATACTTTGTTTTCTTACTCGCAGCTTGTCTTCCAGGATTGTAATGTCACTCAGCTTTGGAGGGCAGTTTACTATCTTGAAGAATCAAGGTTATTGGATTGAAAAGACAGGGCTATGATTACAGTAATACAGTGGCTAGGTGTCTGAGACTGGGAGGAGAGACTGGGTGCTCTGTTTATAGGGACATGTGACTCCAAGGGTGGCTGTCTTGAATGTGGCTAGTGGTTGTGCTCTATGCTTGAATGATCACAGAAATTGCTTTTTTTTTCTTTCCTGGTTTTAACAGAGGAAAATTGTAGGAAGGGTCATGTAGGGAAAAAAAGGGAAAAGAATTTGGTAAATTAGCAAACTATAGTGTTTACATCTGGAACAGGTTTCCATACATGGCACAGTGTCCTGCTTTTATCTCTGGTCTCTCCTCACTTTCCTCAGGCCATTTCTTTGACCATTCTTGGACTTACTTAAGTCCATCCTCAGCCTCATGTTTTACCAAACACATTCTTGGAAGGACATGAGTATGTCTATGGTTTCATGTTTCTTATAAATTAGGGGAAAAAAACTGTCCTTAGATCAGATTTGGTTGATAAACAACAACTTGTTTGTTTTCCCGGTTGAGATGTTTCCCAGACACCTGCATCAGACTCAGGACGGACCTGTTTTCTAATCTTTGTCTTGATGAGTGGAACAGCCCAGCAGCTACCCCGGAATGTTAGATGTTGTTACTCATATCATTGGTAATATGTTTTGTCTCTCAAATTTGCCAGCGTGGGTCTATTTCTTGTGACCCCATCTATGTTCCCCACATCAGTCTGCAGGTAGATATGACATACACATTCTCTAATCATTATTCCTTCCTTGTTCCACGTTCTTGATTACATGCTCCCTGGAGAGCTCTTTTTGGTTTCATGATCTAATCTTAGTACTTCATGGCTTAAAGTCTAGACTCATTCACAGAGCAAGCTTTTTTTATTCAACTTGGCTTTTTTTTTTAAAAAAAAAAATTTTTTTAAGCAGTTTTATTGAGGTGTTCTAGTTGGTTTCTGTTGCTGTGATAAAACATTCTGGCCTAAAGAAACTTGGAAAGGAAAGGCTTTATTTAGTTTACACGTTCTCAATATAGTCCATCACTGAGGGAAGCCAGGGATCCTGGAGGCAGGAAGTGAAGCAGAGACTATGGAGGGATGCTGCTTATAGGCTTGCTTTCTTGTATAACCTAAGATCACCTGCCCAGGGATGGCACTGTCCACAGTGGTTGGGCTCTTCCACATCAATCATTAATCAAGAAAATGCCCCATAGTCATGCCCACAGGCCAGTCTGATGGAGGCAATTTCTCAGTTGAAGTTCCCTGTTTGCCAGGTGATTACAGTTTATGTCAAGTGGCAAAAATCATCACATGAGATATAATGATACGCATTAAAATGTATTTGTTAATTGTGTACAATTTGATGAGATTTACTATGTTACATGGTACAGTCATCACCATAATCATTGTAAAAGTCGCGTCCATCATATGGAAAAAATTTCCTTGGGTGTGACTTTAATTTTTTTTATTTTTATTTTTGTAGTAAGAACACATAAAATGGGTTCTGCCCACCTGCGTTTGTAAGCACATCACACAATGTTGTTGGCTGCAGGGACTATGCTGTAAGCTGCTGTCTACTATCAGGGGTTTTATAAAGTTTCAATGAAGGATGAATTCGCCCCAGAGCAGAAGCATTTTCTTCACTGTATAGCATATTATCTCAGCCCTTTCAGCACTCTACAGAATCAGTAGCAAGGCTCAGAAGGGGAACTGTAAGTGTCTGGGCTGGGTCTTGGACTCGTTGCTACCCAACTACAGAGTTATACTTGTTCTCCAGTACTAGACCTCCTACAAGTGTACAGAATGGTATTCCCTGTAAAGAAATTTATCTGAAAAAAGGGTCCTCCCAGCAGGTTAAGATGTGTGAAGATGAAATTATTTTGAGTTATTCTGGTGGGCCTAAGTACTCTTATAAGAGACATACAGTACACACAGGTATGTGAAGAAGGAAGCAATATTAGAGTTGTGTCAACATTTATTTTATAAAAATAGATGGTCTTGCTGTGTAGTCTGGACTAGCTTCAAACTCTGTCCTCTTCCGTCTACCTCCCAAGTGCTGGGATTATAGGCATGAGCTACTAAACTCAGCTTCTGACAGTATTCCTTCGCTGCTTCAAGTCTGATCTCAGTTTTGGTTCTGTGCTACTTTCTCTTTTTAAGATTTATTTTATATTTATGAGTATTTTTCTTGCATGGATGTATGTGCACCACATGTGTGCCTGGTCCCCAAAGAGGTGAGAAGGGCATTGGAACCCTTGGAATTGTAGTTACAGAGGATTGTGAGCTGCTGTGTGGGTGCCGGGAACCAAAGAACTCAGGGAGATGAACCTGCATTTAACTGCTAAACTATCTCTGTAGTCTGATGTGATTTTTTTTTTTTCCTGTCAGGTTACTTTATCAAATTGTGTGGTAGTCCATATACTTGTATGATAATGCACACAACATGTAGATTAAATACTGGCCTTAGAAGGAATTTATGGTCTACAACTCCCTGACACATACTTTTACTGAGGCATGGATTTACATTACATGTGCTTTGAGTTTGATGGCTGCAGAACTGAGTTCACTTATCTTCGCTGAGCCTTGGTGGCTTCACTTAAAGGACTAAAACTTTCTGTATGAAAAGTAATGTTTAAAAAGAAGTCATCCAAAGCCTGTGCACCACACCTGAAATTCTAGCTCTTGGAAGGCTAATGCAAGAAGAGTCCCATGGGCTCCCATGGGCTAGAAAGTCAGACCTTATCTTAAACAAACACAAGCCATCCATTAATTCTGTTTGAATATGCTCCTCAGGATTTGAAGTTTGTGGCTAGGCCTGGTGGCCTATCCCTACAATCCTAGCTCAGGAGTCTGAGGCAGGATAGTTAATCCAAGGCTTACCTGGCATCAGTAACTGCAAGGCTAACCTGACCAAGTTATTGCCAGAGATAGCTAGAGGTGCTCTTCAGTTGAGTACTTGCCTAGCATGTTCAGTATTTAGTCTTTACCAGAAGAAACAAAAGTGTTAGAAGGAATCTTGTGTTGTCAGACAATATTCAAATCTCAAATGCTGCCCTACAGTACTTGAAAACTTTGACTTTTGACTTTTAATGTTTTTTAATTTTTGAGCTAGGATCTTGCTATATTAGTAGGCTGGCCTCGGACTTGAACTTCCCTATCTTGGCCTTCTGAGAGCTGGGATTACGGGCATATGCCACCTAACTTCACTTTTCTTTCTGTTTCTTTCTTTTTATATTTAATTTATATGTATATGTTTGACCTACATGTATGTCTGTGCACTGTGTGTATGCCTGGAGCCCATGGAAGTCAAAAGAGGGCACCAGATCCTCTGGAACTATAGTTACAGATGGTTGTGAACCACCATGTAGGTACTGGAAATCAAACCTAGGTCCTCTGCAAGAGCAGTAACCACTCTTACCCACAGAGCCATCTCTCTAGACCCCTATCCTGGCCTTTTTGTTATTTTCTTTCTTTCTTATACTGAATTTCTTTCTTGAGAACAGAGGTGTGGTTACTTGTTTTATAGGGTTCCCCCCCTTTCAACTCTAACATGATAACTAGTAAGCATGAGTGAGTGGTTTACTCCAGTAGAGCCATACTGACCCCACCCCACCCTGGGTACCATGAGATAGAGTAAACCGTACTCTTTCCTTTTTTCAGCTCTCTCAGTAGCTCAGACTGGCCTAGTATGATTTTTGCTGCCTCCACCTTCCCAGTGTTAAGATTACAGGTATAGGCCACTGCTTGGCTTGAACCAGTACTCCTTCTGAAGGAAACAGCATGACCTAATAATAATAAGCATGTAATTTCCGGGTCAGTCCAACAGGACAACTCTTGAAAACGATAATTATAGAAAAGTTTTATTTAAAAAAATTGGTAGACATTAACTTGCTACTGAAAATGATTTTGATTTTAAAGTTGTTCGTCTAATATTTTTCAGATAGTAACTTAGGAAGGCTGTTTTGGGTTTTCAGCCCCTGCTCATTTGGCTCCATTGCTGTGGACCTTTGGTGAAGTATAACTTCATGGCAGCCAGGAAGCAATGAGTGGAGTGACAGAGTCAGAGACAGGGACAGCGTATCTGCCCCAGTGGTCTGTCTTTCCTGTGTTCCAGCAGGAGCCCTAGCCTGCCAGATGGACCCGTGCACCTCTGCGGTGAGTCTTTTTCCCTTGGTCGCTACCATGGCAGTGATCCTGGAAGTGCTCTTACAGCCACACCTAGAATTGTGCTTCACTGACCCTCAGGTGTCTCCCAGTCCATCAAATTGATAAGTCGCTCTCAAATTGCATTGATCTCTTGGTTACAGCCTTTGCAGCAAATACTAAAACTAGAAAACTTCTTACATCTCCACCTCTTTTACTTCTGTTTTAGGGACCATTCACTGTTAAGCCCCTAATTGTCATGTTTCTTTGGTCTCTCTTTTTTTTTTTTTTTTTCTTCAGAGAATAGCTCGTCGTTCTTCTTTTTAGTAATTTGACATTTTTTAAAGATTTGTTTTTACTTCCTGTGTATGAATATTCTGCCTGCATGGGTGCCTGATGAGACTCCCTCAGAGGAGTGTCTCAGACCTCCTGGAACTGGGGTTATGGACAGCTGTGAGCCACCATTCAGGTGCTGGAAGAGCAGCAAGTACTCACAACCACTAAGCCGTCTTTCTAGCTCCTGAGTGAAACAGCCCGGCTGTCCTGGAACTCATTCTGTAGACCAGACTGGCCTCAAACTCACAGAGATCCATCTGCCTCTGCCTCCCGAGTGCTGGGATTGAAGGCATGCACCACCATCGCCCAGCTGATTTGACTTTTTTTTTTTAAGTAGTCTAATTATTTTGTAGGATTTTCCTAAATCTGAGTTAGTATGATTCCTCCCGAATAGATTTGAGGATTTATTTTATTTTTGGTTGTGTGTGTGTGTGTGTGTGTGTGTGTGTGTGTGTGTGTGTAAGAGCGTGGTTGAATGGGCGGGACAGGTACCCATGGAATCCAGAGAAGTTGTTGGGTTTCCTGGAACTGGAGTTACAGGCAGTTACAAGAATCAAATTCAGGTCCTCTGCAAGAATAGTGCATACTCTTGAGCACTGAGCCATCTCCATGACCTCTCTATATCTTTGGCAGAATACCACAGATGTTGTGTGCTTGTCACGGCATTATACCAGGAGCACATGTCCATTTGTGCAATTACAGGTTGTGTTCAGTTTTATCATAGTCAAGATGTTGTCTCATTAACTTTTGGAAAGTTAGCTGAAAAGTATTTTTGTGCTTATTGATAAGTAAATAATACCATTTTGTGGGAGTGACACTTTGAGGTTATGTAAATTGACTGTTTCAAATTCTGACCAACAAATTTTAGTACCCATTGAAGATTTGTGACTGAATCTGTTATTACTGTGGTGGTAGCCAGATGGCAAACTAAAAAACAAATTCATCATTCTTCATTCATCTGGCGTTTCCTGCGAGAAGCTTTCACTTTGTCTTTTTATTTGTAAAATTACCAACATGGTTTTCTGTCTTATTTTATTCCTTTTTGAACTTACTTTGGTGACCAAGTTGTCCTAGATTTAGCCAATGGTAACCCTTTCAAGCTTGTGTCCTTTTTGTCATGTGCTCATTATTTTTTCTTTTTGGCATAATCTTGTCCTGACTCAACCTTTTTTTTTTTTTAAGGAACTGTGGTTTTTTTTTTTTTTTTTTTTAGAGAATATAGCTAGGCATCAGATCTGCGCTCTGCGTGTGCTTCTTGCACCTAGGATGTGATTTCCCTTACACCCTGAGCCCTGAACTACAATTTGTTTTTGTAGTTGAGACGGGGCTCAATGACTCTGTAGCCTAGGTTGACTTAGAACTTGTAGCAATCCTCCTTGCCTCAGCCTCCAGGTCTGAGTCGTCACCACACCTGGCTATGAAATTGTTTTATTAAGTCCCTGGGATCTAATTAATAGGGGTAACTGAGTAACTGCCCAGGTCAGCACCACTAAAACTTTATTATTCTGTAGTTTTCCAAAAGCAGGATGCTCAGCATGCTGTGCAAGACCAAATGGAAAACCACTAGGTTGGTCATAAGGCAAGGAGCCAGAGACAGACACGAGTGGAAATCATCTCCATAGTGGTGGGAAGATGTTAGGTCAGTGTGTATGAGGGCATTCTAATTTGATTTGTGCTTGCCCTCAAAAAACAAGGATGGTATGAATGGGAATAACCTTGGTTCTAATTTTGGCATCCGCTTTCAAGGTGCCAGATGATTAATTACAGAATGTTAAGATTATTACAAATAGATTTGTGTGTCTGAATATACATGCGCATATAAATAAATAAATAAACAAATAAATAAATAAATAAATTGTGGAAAGCCATTTTCTACAGTAATACCTCTAATTTCATTCTAACCCAATAGAATTGTTTCTTTTTTGTCTTTCCTCTTTTTCTGACTTTGACAAGTACATCGCTCATCCTTTTCACTACAAACCATATAGATCCCAGTCTTTTGTCTATAAGGCAGTCTCCTTGGTCACCCCACAGAATACCCCCTGCAAGTTTGATAATCTATTCTTACACACAGACTTTACCCTATCAACCATTAATCAAGAAAATGCCCTGTTGTTGGTTGTTTTTACTCTTTAGGCTTTTGGGGGGCCCATCACCTACCTCCCAATCACATATGGAGGCTTATTCTTAGTTGTGAATGCTTGGCCTTAGTTTGTCTTGTTTCTTTCCAGCTTTTCTTAAATTATCCCATCTATCTTTGGCCTTGGGGCTTTTATCTTTCTCTATTTCTGTATACCTTTTCTTTCTTTTCTTCTTATCCTGTGTCTGGCTGGGTGGCTGGGTGGCTGGCCCCTGAAGTCCTCCTCCTTCCTCTCAATCCCAGATCCTCTTTTTTTATTTATCAGGTGTTTATACAGGCACAGTAACACAGCTTCACGGAGTTAAGCAAATGCAACATAAACAGAAATAACACACCTTAAAATAATATCCCCACCAGTGCCCCATGGGCACATTCACAGGCCATTCTAATGGCAATCATCCCTCAGTTGAGGTTTCCTCTTCTCATGTCTCTGTAAAGCTGACAAAACGTAAGGGCACAAATCCCTGGGAAAGATTTTGGATTTGGGATTTGTTGAGACAAAAAGCACAGCTCTTGTTTCAAGGGGAGAAGAGAGATTATTCACTCTGGAAACACAGGCTTAGGTTGCACCAAATTCCATGTTCCGACATGAAAGCAGATTCATCAAGTTTTCATAGTAACAAAACAAAGAAAGTCTTAAGTCAAAGCGCTTTTCAGATACATTAGTTGAAACATTAGGCGAGTATTTATAACACAGAGGAGAGTCTCAGTTGTAGGCGTAGATGCTATCTGAGAGCAATCTCGGCCCTTTGGTTGGTAGTCCTAGGGTTTTATTAAATTAATACATTCTAAAGGTTTGTTGATTTTATCCACATATTAGGTTTAACTTTATTTGTTAGTGACAGCATGTTAGGTCTGACACAAAGGGGCACAAGGAGTAGCTATTTTGTAAGTTAACAATAGCCCAGGAAATTTTAATCTGTCTCTCCACCTGCCCCATTTCATCTCCGTATCGCTGAAGTTCTTATCAGTCAACCAGTCTTTGCAGGCACAGCTCTGTCTTAGCTTGCTTTCTGTTGTTGTGATCAAGACCATGACCAGAAGCAACCTGGGGAGGAAGAGGTTTATTTGACATACAGATTACAGTCTATCACAAAGGGAAGTCAGGACAGAAACTCAGGTGGGAACTGTGAGGCAGGAACTGAAGCAGAGATCATGGAGGAATGTTATTTATTAAATGTGGTATTAATGCCATAGATGGACAGACAGCATCATGTTAGGGGCCCTAAGGAGAGATCAGACCCATTTGGTTGGTCCCTTCTCATACATTCTAGAGGAAATACCATGTGATTAATGGGCAGTCCATAGTACATACTTGCTGTCAGGCTGTCCTGGCAGGCAGGTGGAAAAAGAGTCTGTTAGTCTGGGGCCTGTAAGTAGAATAACCAGTGGGGAGGGCAAGAATTTAGAACAAAACAAGCTATTGGAAGAGCTTTAAAAAAAATGGCACAAACCTGGCTATTCCAAATTTTTGTTTCTATTAGGTGGAGGGACAAGGAAGGTAATTGTCATCTTCTTTTCTCTGCCTTAGCATACCCCCCTTGAATATCAAACCGGAAACCTTCCACCTACCACTTAAGATGTGGAAGTAGGAAGATAAGGAGTTCAAGGTTACCCTTGGTTACATAAGAAATTCAGGGCCAACCTGAACTGCACTAAAACCCTGTCTTAAAAACAAAAATCAAAAGCTAAAAGAAATGTAAATGAGATGAATGTGGTATGGCTTATGTTAGGAAATACAGGTATTTTGATGAGTATATTGAATGTTTCATAACTTGGAAAATTCTTCCATTTTGACATTTTACAACATATACAACCTGAAACAGAAGGCCCTTCTAGAACATGCAAGAGTGTGTAAGAATTCAGGTGTTAGTAGCATGCAGTTGAACAGTAAAGCTACTAAAAAAAAGCCAGTAAACATTTTCTTCATTTAGGTATGATCCATAAAGTTATTATTAGTACAGCTTGTATTGCTGTTTTTCTTTTAAAGATTGAAACAAAGCCGGGCGATGGTGGTGCACACCTTTAATCCCAGCACTCGGGAGGCAGAGGCAGACAGATCTCTGTGAGTTTGATGCCAACCTTGTCTACAAGAGCTAGTTTGAAGACAGGATTCAAAACTACAGAGAAATCCTGTCTCGAGAAAAAACAAAGGAAAAAAAAATTGAATCAAAAAATTGTAAGACCCTCCCCTATGGTATTAATTTGAACTTTTCCACAAAGCACCATACAACTTTCTCCACAACTTGGCTTGGGACAGGATGTTTGCCTAGGATTGTTGTATGTAATAGGCACATTAAACCAACTTAAATTATTCAAAAGCACTTTCTCTCTCTCTCTCTCCCGCTCTCTCCTTTCCTTTTTTTAATTGAGGGAAGCAAAATGCTGGTTTCCAAGGATACACATTCTCTCTTGTGCTGGTTTCAGATTGTTGTAGTCATGGAAACTAGACTAGTAAACTCATTCTTGGCAGCTGGTGGCATTGGTCTGATCTTTTCTTTAAAATGCATTACAATTACAATTTAATACATTTGGG